CGCGGCCTGCGCCTTGTTCTCAATGCTGTGTGTCAGATTCGGAAGTTTGGACTTTGTTGGCTGGCGACACCTTGTTCAAGCTTCACTGTGCTTTGCCGTTGCCAGTCAAGGAGGATGCCTGAAAATGGCTATTTGGGGGAGGCTGATGGCTACAACTTTGTCAAGACGGGTAACTATTTGATGGAAATCAGTTCCCTCATTTACTTCTTGTGCTACCTCTTGTCGGTTTGGGTGGCTTTAGAGCAGCCGCAAAACAGTTGCATGATGGACTGTGCTTCCCTTAAGGGCGTGGCTCTCTATTGCAACGCCATGCGCTACCTCACCTACATGGGGTCCTTTGGCGGGCCAACTGTAAAGCCGCTGCAGATCCTTTCCACATGGGAAAAGTTGAGAGGCTTGGAGAGACCGCGGCCAAGCATGGTTGAAGCTGAGAGCCTAGTGGTAAGATCTGAAAAAGGTTTTACTGGCCGCAAAGACTTGCTGCACCAAAGCCAGGTTTACACCCAATTGTTTGGGTGCGCAGTTTGTGAGATCTGCCAGGGGGAATGGCAGTAGTGACAGCCAAATTAAAACGCAGTCTGTGACAGATTGCACTGAGCAGTGTGTGCGCTGAGTCCCGGAATAGGTGAGTAGCCAGGTAAGTACAGCTTCACTGACAGGAGGAGTGCTTGACAACTTGTGAGGCATTAGTGTTTGGAAGTTGCTTTTTTCGATCACGGGGCCTGTTTTTCACATGCTGCACAATTCGATCAGGTACAGTTTGTCAAGACTGACTGTCAGCTGTTCACATTGAAACAGTGAGAGCGCTTGTTGAGCAGGACACCGGCTTTGACAACTGGCATGAATACTTTGTGTCCTGGTTGAATGTTGAACTGCAATCATTGCTTTGCGTGCTGAGGCCTGGCACCTTCATAGGAAGTTCCTAGCTCAGCCAAGTCACTGTTTCGATCCTGGCTGCAAACTTTCACGCAAGCATTTTGACTGCTTTGTGAGGTCTGCTTTGATCATCGGCAATGTCAGCTGTTGTCAGTTGTTTTGTGAGTTCTACCAGCGCGTGGACAGCGCGTGGCAAGCGGAAAGTGTAAAATACAAGACTTCGTTCACAAACGGGGGTTTAACCGGCACAAAAAAAAATATTTTTTTTGTTTGTGTTTTATTGTGTGTTTTTGTGTTTTTTTGTGTTTTTTTGTTTTTTTTTGTTTTTTTTTTGTTTTTTGTTGTTGTTTTTTGTTTTTTGTTGTTTTTTTTGTTTTTTTTTGTTTTTTTTATTTTAAAACCTTGGCAAATTCAACCTCTGGAGATTGTACCTCTATTTGGTCTTGGTGAATAGCAATGTTTTTTGGTTGGCAAGGCAGTTTGCCCTGCTTTGAAATCTTAGAGTGCTGTACAATTGCTTCATTTCAAAAAACGGCCAAAGGTCACTGGGAATGCGATGCCCAAAATGCAATGTCTTTTCGTGTGGCAGCAGTAACATTTGTTGTTATGGTCACGAACTACATCTCCTGGAAATTCGCTAGCTAGGTCATGAACGTGTCCTTGGTCACCTTGTGCATCTAGTGCCCCACCAAACGTAGCTAGGTCCAACGTTGTTCGAATTCCTCCAGAACAATTCTTCTGTAGTGATCCCCACGCCAACCCTACTATCACAAATGAAGTCTGGTGCTTGGCTAAAGCGGTAGTTTTTGCCACTGTGCGAGCGATGCCGGGGAGCTCTTCAAAGTCATCACCCCACATATTGGGTTCTGCAGAATAAACTTCGTTGCCCTGGCAGCAAAACGCTTGGCTTCGCGGGTTGTCCTTGATACTTTCTCGAATTTTTCCTTCGTTGAGGATAGACACGGCATTTTCTTCCCTTGTTGCGTGACCAAAAAAGAGTAGTCGATTTCGTCTGCTGGTCAAAGGTGGCTGTTTTGTGTTGAAAGCTTTGAATAAAACCAAAGCAAAATTGCATGGTTTCAAATGTTCACCTTCTTGTGGTTCAAAGTGTAGGAGCAAACTGTGTTGCAAATCTTGTGGTGCCAGTCTACTTTTTGCCAAAATTGAAGCGACTTCATGAAAATTCTTCTTGTCAATCTCAAATTGCTTGGGAAAAAGCCCGTCAAGTTTGTCTGCAATTGTAATTGTTTTGGTGTTCGGAGGTGTCTGCGGTATGTTTGAATGCAAAAGGGTGGTAAAAGTGCTGGGTGACATCGTTTGCCGAGGGCTTCTGCTTCGTTGTGGTTGTGGGTGTTGCTGTCGCGGTGGTGGTAGTGATGCAGATTTTGATCCCAGTTGAAAACTTTGTGCTTGGTCACGTGTCAATGGTAATGTAGGTGCTGGTGGTGGCTGGAGTTTTTGCTTCACTTGCTGTAAAAAAGAAATGGTTGGTGTTGCTGCTGGTTTGTAGTTGGGCCCGGGATCAAAAGGTTGCAGAATAGGCTGGGCTGGCAAGTGTGTTTGCTTGGTTTGTCCTGGAGCTGGTGGAGGTGGCAACGGGCTTGGTGGGTAAACGAATGCTCGCGGTAAGTTGTTGAGAGGATGTAGATCTTGATGTAGCGCGTTCGCAACTGATGCCCGAGAGGTACTCGATGTTGCTGCCGATTGCGTTGACATAGCCCGCTGGTTCAACGGTAGCAGCTTCGGAGTGAAGATAGTGAACGACATTGCTGGCCGGATAGGTTAAACAATAATGTGAGCTTACACATTAAAGAAACTGTTCCACTTTTCAACAGATTAACGTAACTGCCCGAAAAGCCTGAACAACTGGGTCAAAAAAAAAAGAAAGAAACAACCTAACAACCCTACAAACAAACACATAAGCCCTTCAAAAATTCCGGACAAATCCTAGACGTCACCGGGGCACTAGTCTCCAAAGTTAAAGTGACTGGGGTGGCGTTTGTGGTGGCACCAAAAAATGTTGAAACCCCAAACCAAAATGGAAAACAGTGGAAGGCCATAAAAATTGGAACCAGGGGACGTATGAACGGTTGTGAGGTGTGAACATTCAACTTGGGAAATTCGCTGTGGTAGGGAGCATGAAATATGCCAACATATGGTCTGAGAATGCTGAAACGGCTCAGCAAATGGAGAAAAATAGCTCGATCTCGCTTGCATTCTCGTTTCTAACTGTGCTCATGCAAGCACTCTTACAACAGTGCAGTTCCAAAAGCAAAAGGTGCATTCAAATACCAGGTTTGGAAAGAAACACAAAAAGTTATCCAGGATCGAGTAGAAAGGAAATTGCCAAGATTCATCTGTGTGTCACCGACGCTGGTTGGTTGCCCTCTAAACAAGCAAAAACAATCCACACCGCTGTGACCAAAGCATCCCACACACACAAACATAAACAAAAACAAACAGACGTTAACACACACACACATGCATCAGAACAAACATACCGAGGGAAAGAGGAGGAGGGAAGAAGATGGTGCTGAATGATGAAAGTGAAGATGATGAGAAATGACTGCGTGCCTAGTCCTCGACCTTGAAGGTAAACCAGGAGAAAAGCGAGATGAATCAAGCTTTTCAGAAACCAGTTGGAAACCAAAGGATGTTCACACACTGGGGTAGTAGAGAAGCGAGCTGGAATGAATCTGAGCCATGCTCGAAAAGTTAACAGAAAAATCTCATAGATAGCGGCGCTTGCGCTTAAACTGGTAAAGTTGGAGGGGAAAAACCCCAAAACTTGGAATTTGGGAGGAGAGCGTTTTGCACACTATCCAAAACTGTTGAACTTGAGAGGGCAAGCCTTCTCTAAACCGGCACAATGGCCAAGGTGGGATAAATCCCAAACTACTTGAGCATAAAGCTCCACCTCGTCGCCCTCCCTTGCAGACTTTGGGGAGAGTTCAGTAGCCGACTCGACGGAGCGAAAACGGCCCGCATCTGACACACTTGTAGTGTTACCGCTGAGCGGCCCCCAGTCTTATGCGAACATCCTGATCCAATCGCAGATCTTTTGGAGTTCTTTATGCATAGCCGGAGTTTTGTCGCGCTGGCCAGTTAAACTGACGCAGGGATGAAAATGAAAGAAATCTGTCTCTGTCTCTTTGCAGTTTCGGATGCTCTGCTGGGTTTCCTCATCAGGATGCCCAAGCCCAGCAGAGTGGGCACCGACTGCTTCTCTTGTCTCTCTTTGTTTCTTTGCGCGAAATCGATGATGATGACATGAAACCAGAGGTGAAAGAGGGAACAAGGAAAGGTAAGAACAGGACATGCATTCCCTTTGTTAACAGGGTTCCGCGCACACACACAGACACAAACAAACCCACACACACAGAAGTTTTTACATTCAGAAGCTTTTACAGACAGAAGCCTGTGCACACAAAAGCTTTTACACACAGAAGCTTCTACACACAGACGTTTTTACACAAAAGCTTTTATATATACACAGAAGTGTTTACACACAGAAGCTTTTAACCACAGAAGTTTTTGCACACAAAAGCTTTTACACTTTTACACGCAAAAGCTTTTACACACAGAAGCTTTGACACACAGACGCTTTTACACACAGAAGCTTTTACACACAGACACTTTTCACACAAGCCCTTTGGCACACACCGACTTCTAAAACTCGCAAAAAAAACCTCAGTTTTTGACGCTCGAACCTCGTTTCGTGTGAAAAGGTTGCCACTTCGTGGCGCCTCGTCCGCACTGCCCGCGGCCTAAAGATACAAAAGAAAAAGAAGGAGGGAGAGAGAGAGAGAGAGACCGTGACAGAGGGCAAGGGGAGGGAGGGAGGGAGCGAGAGAGAGAGAGAGAGAGGGAGAGAGAGAGAGAGGGAGAGAAGGAGAGAAGGAGAGAAGGAGAGAGAGAGAGTGAAGATGTGAAGATGTGAAGATTTGAACATATGAACATGTGAACATGTGAACATGTGAAGATGTATAGCAGACCTCCACTATTAGAAGAAGCCTTCGCTCAGACGCTCTCGGGAAAGGACTGTGGCAGCTCGGCCCATCATCCCATCATCCCATCTTGGGATGGGATAGACCAGCACCAACCATCTCCAGCTGCCCAGCCACATGCCATGCAGGATCTCGATCAAGGCCCTCCTGGCCACCATGGCGTCCTCCTCTGCGGACATGCGACTCACAAACCTCGGGAGAAGTGGAAGTGGATGGGGGCTTGGTGGAAAAATCCAGGGGAAACCATGAATGTTATTGGTTAAATATGTTAAAATATATAGATAGACAGATAGATAGATAGATAGATAGATTGTAGATCATAGATCATAAGATTGTAGATATAAGGAAGAGGGGTTCTTTAAATGTGCCCTTCAATTCTGGAAGTGAATGAAATGAATCGCAGTTGATATGGAAACTCACTGAGTTCCCATATCAACAGCACAAGCCGAGAGACATGAGCATGCTTCGATCAGGCTTCACCTCTTCTCTGGACATGCTGGTGTAGTACAAGTTTGCACAACCTGGGCCGGGAGCCATGAACAACCGGATGTCCAGTCATCCTGGGGACATCCCAAGATCAGACGGTCTTGCATCTTGCCAAAAATGATCATGACTATCATGATTATGATAATGATATATATATATTATATATTATATATATATATATTATATTTATATAATGATATATAGTTTAATGATATATATCATGATAATGATTGGCTGTGCTTTGGATCCATGATGATCGCAACCGGGCCACACATGATGTATTTGTGAAGGGATGCATCCGTCTTCTGACAATTCTGGAAGTACTCTGCCATCGCATGGAAGATGCGACCTGGCAGCTCGGGGCGGAGCCTAATTTCTGATGTTTCCAGTGGTTACTACTTGGACTGAACTTTCGGACGATGTACCTGCCCTACTATGGAGTTCAGGAATCATCCCTAAGTTCAAGACCCTTTTTGTAAACCAACCAGCCAGCCTGCTGCTTGTGCCAAAAGCTCTTTACATGACACATCTTGACACAACAAGAAATCCTCATGTGGAATGCGTTTGCCACACCTAGAATCTTTACTTGCCATGCAGTTTTCTGAACTGACCAAGCCATTAGACTTGTGTGAAACAAGTTTAGCACGATGTCGCATACTTAAACTCACCCCAGTGGACCAAAGATGGCAATAGGAGTGGTCAAACTCCACAGGTGGATCGTAGGAGCATTCCATTTTCTGCTGGTTGTAGCAATACGCATTGCTCCCACCAGTCAAAGAATCATATCACCCATCAGAAAATGTGTTTCAGGCATTCCTTTTTCAAGAGTTCAGAGTAGTTCAGGACACCTCTTCCTCTCAAAATCTTCCAACACCATCCCCATCCCATCCAGCAGCATCCCGCCCTTCCCATCTTTCCCCAGCACCTGAAACCGCTCGTTCCTGACATAAACATGTCAGGGTCGAGAAGATCAGCCGCCGCAGTGAAGGCGATGTGGCATCTGCAGGCATCACCTTTTTCAGGCCACAGCCCCAACACATGATGTGAATCACATATACTGTGGCCCATTTCATCGCCAAAATTGGCAGTTTTTTGGATCAACATATGATTCGCCATAGGATTCCGTTGGATTCGCCTGGTTTTTTGGGGGATCTTCTATGGTCACAAACCGAAGGATCCAAACCGCAGCCTCCAGCAGAACCCGCAGAATCCGCGGCTCGCTGTGCAACAGCTCCAGGTTCCCGGCCTAAAAAAAAGCCGGTCCAGTCGCGTCTCCAGGGCCACCATGAAAACGTTGTAAGATGTACCTAGACCCTCCACATAACCCCAAAAAAATGATCAAAGTACTGAAAGTATGGGGTAAAATAGCATTTTGATGGGTACTTGGAGGGTCTAGGTATACATATTATATATATATATATAATTTGTATATATATATATATGTATATATATATATATATATGTAATATATATATATGTATATATATATATATATGTATATGTATCATCCATCGCCACCCATCACCATTCATGGCCCTCAGCCGGGGATCCCCACATGCACTGCCAAGTTGTGGATCACCAACACAGCCAGATTGAAACATTCCAGGTATTGCGCTGGATCGCCGTAGGCCTGGACCTGTTGAGGGCAGCATTTCTTGGGGAGATGAAGTCAGCCCTTGCCCAATGAAGATAATGAAGTGGTGAGGCCTGAGGCTAAATAGTATGAAGAAGTCCATTTATGGCCAGACCATATTGGTTGCAAATATATATATATATATATTGCAGACATGTCAATGTTTCCACCCTGCGTTTCCTTCAACGCAGAAGTCCATTGCCGCGCCTTGCTGACCGCTTCAATCCGGATGTTGCCCACCGTCCTCATGCCTTCCTCCTGCTTCTCCTGCGCCCAAGATGACACAACAAAAACACGACAAGCAAAGGCCAGTGCTTTTCTCGGAAGAAATCCAGGATACCTATGGATACCTCCATATACAAGTAAAATTTATGTAGATCTATGATGGTTTACATAGATGGTTCATGATGTTTGATGATTTATGATAATTTATGGAGAACATGGTGCTGGCAAAGAAGCGACCTCCAAGGGCTCCTTGGAAGGCTCGGGTCGGCGACGGAAGAGCAGCTTCAGGGGTCTTGCTTCGAACATGGGCTCGATGTCACCTGCAGCTGAGAGCGTGGCAATTTTGCCACCAAATGTAGAAACTGAGAAAAATATGGAAAAATCCTTCAATCCTTGGAGATCCTGAAAGCTAATTTAATTCCTTGAAATTCCTTAAAATTCCTTTAAATTCCTTTAAATTCCTTATCATGTTCGAAAGTTTCGAAAGGTCCTTTTATTATAGGAATTCAATCCTTGGAGATCCTGACGGTTCCCAGCCCTGATCCTTTCCAGCCTTGCTCCAATTCCGTCACATCGGTGCCGTTCACCTGGACGCAACAAAGCTGGCTGAGTCAGGTGCTAAGCTGGGGCCCTGGGGCCCAGGGTTCGCAGGAGATCCCCTGCCTCCACCAACTCATCGCCGGGCCGAAGTTCGGTGCCCACGCGTGCAGCGCGGCTGTTGGGCAGCACCTTTGCGAGTTGGGGTGGCAACTCCCAACCGATCCTGGCACAGCTGGGTGATCCTCGAGCTGAAACTGCCTCTGAAATCCCTGTTTCACAGTTGGTGGGAAGATGGATCTCTGGATATCTTATGATGTTGACATATTCTTTTCTCGTCAACATCCCTTTCAGCCATCCGATCCCTGTGCTAGACCATTCCAGGTCCTCAACCCCAGCGGTGGAGCATCGTCCGGTTCAAAGACCACCTCGTAGTAGTCGAACTTGTCCTCATCCTGGTCATCTTTGGTCAGTAGAAGTTCAAGGCAAAATTTGCGAAGCTGTTGCTGACCAGCAAATTCACCTAGCTATCGACAGCTTCAACATTGGCAGCGCTGGATTCCTTTGCTGGATGCTCTGAGAAGCCTCCGCTTGATGCAGCCTCTTCTGAATCCCATTGTTTAGCTGGAAAATAGCAGGAGCCCAGAGGTCTCCCCTTAAGCCAAGTGGGATCCCCAAAATCACCATATCCGACCCAGCTTGCGTCCTTCACAGGCTCCTCCGACTTCAGCTTCACCTCACCAGAAGGTGCATATTTCGCATTGCGAAAGCCTTCATCAACAAGAATGTAACAGGAGTGTGATCTCATGATTTGCTTTCCAAATCTACCAATTCCATTGATGCAATGAAACATATGGACTCCGATTCCTCAGTTCCCCGACCCGGTGGAACAGCACGGCACAGTGGCGCAGTACGTCTCGGAGGAAGGCCTTAAGGGATCCCGCAGGAGGGATGAAGATTCACAATAATAATCACCAACTACTTTTTGCTGTGAAAATTAGGGTGTCAGGGTTTTGATCCATAGCCGCATCACTCAATTGTAGTCCAGTTGAAATATGTTGAAACTGTACAATAAGAAACTGATGAAACTGTGCAACATGGTACAGAGATGTACAGAGTCTCCAACCATTTACTGTATGGTTCGTGGCCATGGTGAACAGGTGGCCATGCCCCAACCCGCCAAACCCCAGCCCTGAGTGCATGGCCATGCTATCAGCTGTCATGACAGCCTTGTGCGTATTTTCTCTGCATGTCCTTAGTGGCTCAAGGAAATCGCTTGAGTTGTTCAAACAGCACTGGGGAAATCGCGATTGCAACGAGAAGTGGTGCCAACATCTGTCTGGGGATCAACCAACAAACACGGGTATATCTGCTGGACCAACACAAATTGGCAATTTACGACCAGCGCAACCTCTGATAGTTGTGGTACAAGCAAGTGGCTTTGTTCAGCTGACAAAGCTGGGACGAACCAACTGGTACAAATATGTAAATGCTCAACATGTGTTGGCCATTTCAGGCCCAAAATTGCAGAGATCCACCAAATCCTGGTGATATACCCATGATTCGGAGCCGATTCACCCCTTGCTGCTGAGCTGCAAATTTGCCAACATCCTGGTGAGTTCAATCATCAGGGCAAAGTGCTCCACGAACCAACCCTTGCCCGGAATGCCCCTCAGCATGCGGGCGGCTGCCACTGACTTGCCTCCAACGGAGGTAAAATAGGTCAAGGATAGCCCTGAACTAAGGAGCCCGCTTGCAAATGCGGAAGACCCCCGAGTTGACGATGAATTCCTGGCAGTGAAAAAAACGCTCAGCAACGTGCTCAAGTGCTGAACCCAACTGAGGCATCTGCAAAGAGTTCATCCTGTGCAGCTGCATTCGCAAGAACCTCACTTCAGAAACTTCGATCTCCGCGATGCTCCGCGAAATTGGGATGTTTTGGTAGGAAACACTCCAGAAAAACATAGAAAAACAATGTGTGGTTGGTATGGGAACACAAGGACCCCTCATGGACAACTATACAATGCGTTGACCACTCATGTTTGGTTGTCTCCACCGGTTGATGCAGTTGTTAGTTTCGCAAGTAGGTCCACCAGTAGGTGGGTCACAGTTCAATACGAAGGAATCGCGAACCCATTGGATCTATTGGATCTAGTCGGACCTGCCTATCGAAGCCCATGGTCTTTTGTTCACGAAGCTATCATTGGTGGCAACAGCAAAATCACATATATATATATTATATATAAATTATATTATATATATATATTATATATATATATTATATATATATATATTATATATAATATATAATATATATATATTATATATATTATATATATATTATATATATTATATATATATATATAGGACTCAGCTCCTGCTCGCATTTTTCATGCTAGACCCGAAGGTTTTCTGAACCTCTTGGCTTCGCCAAGTTATATTCTTTTGGAGCCAATTTGGCATGGCTCATTTGAAACACTAAGGTCAATGGCATGACCCTGTTGTATTTGCAAAAGCAGGTTCGTACCCAAGTGGCATGGGTGAATCCTGCTGGAGACTGCCTTGCTTTGAGCTCAAAAGGCAAACATCCTTGCAGGCCAGCTCCATTATTTATGAATTAAACACCAAAATTTCCAACGCTCTCCAAAAAGGGGTTGGGAGAGGCGGGCTTGCTTGAACCTACAAGCCACCATTAAACAAAAAGCTTCACAACTTCGTCCTACATGTCGGCACGACTTCATAGGACTCAGCTCCTGCTCGCATTTTTCATGCTAGACCCGAAGGTTTTCTGAACCTCTTGGCTTCGCCAAGTTATATTCTTTTGGAGCCAATTTGGCATGGCTCATTTGAAACACTAAGGTCAATGGCATGACCCTGTTGTATTTGCAAAAGCAGGTTCGTACCCAAGTGGCATGGGTGAATCCTGCTGGAGACTGCCTTGCTTTGAGCTCAAAAGGCAAACATCCTTGCAGGCCAGCTCCATTATTTATGAATTAAACACCAAAATTTCCAACGCTCTCCACGTCCCCCCTCATGGCCGTCAAGGCCGTTATTCAAGGTCGGAAGGCAGAGGAAGGACAGTGATTTGAAAATTGTAAGATCCGGCGCATCTCCAGCGGGTCCACCCGCAGACGCGGGATTTGCGCCAGACCATCCTGTAAATAGAGACGCGCAACATTCAAACTTCTCCATCTTCCTCTCACTAATATCACATCCAAGGGAAGCCCCTCCTGAAGGAGGTATGTTGCTCCTCCCCTTCTCAGGGAGTAAGGTTTCATACTGAGATGACTGATGCGAAAGAAGCGCATATAGTCGGAGAACTTTTGCCGGAAGCACTGGGCAGAGAATTCCCAGAGCTTCTGTCCCCGACTGAACATCGATACGCTGGCCAGGGTCCTGAGCAAATTCAGGACCAGCGGATCGCGCACTGCGACAGCTTCCTCAGTGCCTGTCCGCAAGCCAGATTTGCTTGAATACAGAGTAATAACTCCTGTAGATGTAGACAGTTCAAGGTCCTTGAACTGAAGGGCGAGCAGCTCGCCAGTGCGGAGAAGGCAGTGGAAGCCCAGAGCCACCAGGGCTCCAAAGGCCAGCTCATGCCGCTCCACGGCACGGGCAACCACCGCCTTGACAATCCACACCGTCATTGGCGGGGCTTGTTGAGGAGCCTCAACCTTGCGCCACTGCCTGAAGAGCCGCCATGAGTGCCTAAGCATCCCACGCAGCTCGGGCCAGTAGAAGTGGAGCCCGGATAGCACATCTGCAATCCAGCCCACCGTTTCGCCTCGGCTCCACTGTAACTCCATAAAGTCACTGACCACACCATCCATATCTTGTAAATTGTGCTGGGCCTCAAGGAAGGGTAATATTCGCCCAACTGCAGCCTCATAGCGCAACCTGGTCTTCTTTGTGATAGTAAAGTCACGGAGTCGCACTCCTTTCCTTTGTCTTTGGCGACCCTCCCTTGTCTTGGCAGCCAGCACAATGCGCGGCAAGTGCCTCGGCATTATGCACGGCTGGCCTCATCTGTCGGGTTCTCTTCAGACGGGACGTGCGCGTGCAGCAACGTGGCGTTCATTGCAAGTTGCACCGCCCCAATTTGGTTAGCAAGGGGTTGCAAAAGGTCACTTGAGGTTCGACCCTTAGACAAAATAAAAAGACAAACCATACTGTCCTCCAAGTGGAGCCAGCGTTTACCTACCTTTGAGGGGTCCCTTGCCTTCCAAAGCAAAGTGTTGAGGATCATTTTCATCTCCAAATAGTTAATGTGAGATTTGAAAAGCCAGCGCACTTTAAAGAGGTGTTTCCACTGCCACCACCACGCTCGAGCCGAGGCATGGGCAGCAGGCTTGTTCCCCAAAACGGCACCTGTGGTGATCCTGACATCACAACCCGTATGGTTAACACTTAAGCCAAGGTGCCGTGTGAGCTCTTCCAGCATGTAGGGCCTGTCGGCGTCGCCACCATAGGAGAGCAGCCTCGACATAGGAACATCCACCGACGGGTGGGCAGAACAGCCTGGTGCCAGCCCAAGCCGTGCAATGATCTTAGCCGGTGGCATCCTGGGGGCAAGCTCGCATGCCATCTGACTTGCCATGACGGCGAATGATGGGATCGAGAAGCTGTCGCCACATAACGAACAGCGGGCATCCTCGTAATCCCGCCAGTTCTTTTTCGCTTCCGATGCACTCATGCAAGTGCTGGTGTGGCCAGCGCCGAACCCCAAGAGGATTTCCCTCTCACTGGAGTCCAGCAAGCGCGGCTCCTTGCCAGCCTGGTGCAGCAAAAATTGCTCCTTGTATTGATATGGCGGATAGCGGAACTGGTCCAGCCGCCATCTCTCTTGAGTCTGTTGCGATGTCCGCTCCAAGCCTGCCGGTGCGGGAGGCGGCCGAGACCGCTTTATACTTTTCATGAAAGTGGGGAAGCAAGCTCCCTGATGAGCTTCCCAAGTCCAGCCAGGGCGGATCCACTGATGAGTCTCCACACCTGGCCCGGACATGTAAGCCCGCACGTATTCCTTTTCCGTCCAAAGCTGCAACCCTTCCATTTCAAACAGTGTTTCTGAACTCCATGCAAACCTTGGTCGACTATAGGGCAGGACATCGCTCGGATCAAGCTTGATCGGCGACACCTCGAGCTCCGAGGAAATAGTCTGCCGCGCAGCCTCGTCCATGGAGGCCACGTTTTCCACGCACCACTTGACCTTGGCCTGGACAGAGAAGACCTGCTGCACCCACTGGATGACTTCAAGCAACTTCCAAAAGAGCCTAGAGCCTTCACCTTCAAGGTTTTGTCTGAATGCCCTTGCGGACGACAAGTGCACGCATGGGAAGCCTGCGAACATGTGCACTTCTACCACGTGAGGAAAAAGGCCTGCCCATCGTTCAATCTCCTTCAGGTCGATCAGCTCAACGTCATGCAGCTCGATCATATCGGGCCAGGCGGAGCGTGACACCCTGTTGCCCGTCCGGCTGATGTCTACCGAAATGCGGCCAGCTGGGATAATTTCCCTGTCACCTGACCGTCGTAGGTCGCCATCAAGTCTGCTTGCAGCAACGGGCCTAGACAGATCAGCCCCATCAACTCCCTTTGTAACACCTGAAGCTTCGGCTTGGAAGGCCAAGGGCTTTCGATCACCTGCCAGCTCTTTGAGAGCATCCCCATGGCCGCTCGACGGAACTGGAGGATGAAGACCCATCGGCCGAGCACAATCTGGGTCTCCTTCCTGCTCCAGAGCTGCTTCCCCAGCAAGTACAGCGTTGCAAAAATGGTCTTGAGGAGTCGCTCGGGCGAAGCGCCCAGCAACCCCCGCCGACCATCCAAACGCACTCCAAGTTCCACCGCTGAGGTACTACCCAGCACCTGCTTGTCTTCTGCTGTCAGGATACCAGCGCTGGTCCAAGCATTCATAGCCAAAGCCTGGAGATCTTCGTCAAGAGCCCCCGCGTCCTTGTGCAAGTCCCCCGCCATGAAATTGTCCAAATATATTTGCCACCAAGTCCGTGAAGGGGAAGTAGAATGTTGTACCTGGGCAAACCATGGCGGAGGGGGGCTCCCTTTTTTCAGTTCAAGGTCAGGGGGAAGTCCCCTAGACAGGAGGATTTCCCGGGAAACTGCTTGCATAACTGATACGCTGCTAGACCAACCCATGGGGAGAACCCTGCAGGCCGGTCTACCAGCGATCACCACGCACGTGAGACAGCCCTAGGTCTCTCCCCCTAATCCTGTAATTGAAACACATATATGGTTGCCAAACGGCAGGAATGGCAAAAAGATAGAAAGCAGCAGTCATATCACTTTGGGAAATTGTGATCTCCTCACCCTGGGACATGCAGATAGGTAACCATCCCGTCGCACTAGGTAATGATCCAATATCACCTTGCAGGACCTTGAACAGGCCGTTAATGGGAATGAGGTTCATAATAACTCTCAAAACAAGTTTACCAGACGTAGTGTATTTACCAGATTTGACGACTCCAAATAAACCTGAGAGGTAGGTGCCATGGCTGTCAGAGAAAGCTGTTTCAGCCGGCACCCAATCAATAATCCCCCTGTCATACAGTAGACCAAAAACCTGGGGTTCCAACCCCTTTTCAATGTGAACCCTGGCTGAGACTGGGGCCGATCCCCTATCTCCTTCTTCCAACAACAGTTGAGATGGATTCTCCATCAAAAACTTCGTACGCCCCTTTAAAAACGGTAAAACAGAGATACTTCCCCCATGTCCAGGAGGTGGCAAACCCTTGACAATTTGTTCCGGAGAAAGAGGGTGAGGTTGAAGAACTTCTTCACCGCAATAAGAAACCTTTTTCTCGCCTAAGTCCTTAACAACCTGTTCAAAACCAAAATCATGAGCATCTTCCCCTTCTAAAAACCTACGCACTTTCGCACGCAGGCTATCCAGCACCACCTCATGCATTTTTCCCGGTTTTCGCTGCATACCCCCTTTAGGGTGTCCATAGAGAGAGTTCATGGCCGCACAGCCAACCGCTACCCAGCACTGTACAGCTGCTTCTGTCAGACTCAACGGCCCTCCGCCAGAGTCCATCCAGAGCTCTCCCTCAGGGAAAAGAATAGGCAGGGGAAACAGGGAGCCCCTACTTGAAGTGGCCCCCCGTGTGGGTCTAGCACGGTCGCTTTCCAGGGAAAGGAAACCAGCTCGAAGCCCCCATGCCAACTTTCCACCGAGTTCAATAAGATTTGAAACCTCAGTGAGCCTCAGCAGCCACTCTGCCCGTGAGTTGGGCCGTGCTGCACGAGAACTCTCTCCGGTGTGGCAGCTCTCAACTTCAGGAAAGCTTGCAATCGTCGAATTCGTGCCCATAGCACCTTCCACAGGCGATGACAAAGAGGTCGCAACCTCAGCACCAGTCCCTTGGGTAATACCAACGTCTTGTACTCCATGGGGCTCTGCGCGCGGGCCGCCAGGAACTGACGCCACAGTCCCTGGCATGCCCAGCACTATGCCTCTGCTTCCTTCTTCTTCGGGTCGCTCGGCTTGTCTTTCCCCTCCTGTGGCCAAGGGGACCAGCCTCCTTTCCAATTTTTGCCTTTTCCTTTGCCCTTCTTGGTCTTTCCCTTTGCCTTTCCTTTTCCTTTTGGCCTTTGCTCGTAGGAGCTCCACTGCGCCGCGGCGGGGCTCCAAGAGCCCTTCCCCCCGGCCTTGTCGACCTGACGTGCATGTTTTTGGGCCGCGAGAAGCACGTGGGGAGGCGCGCTGTTTTCTTCCTCCTCTCCATAGACTTCCAAGTGGCGTGCGACATGCCATCCCTGGCGGCCAGCGGTGTCCACCGCGATTAGCCGTGACGCTAAAACGTCCGCCAGTTCGGCGAGCCGCCCTTCTCGAAGAAGGTCGAGGCTCCTCGACAGTAGGGAAAGCTCTTTGCAATCCCGGCTGCGAGCATCCAGCGCCGGTCTCAGCACCAGCTGGAAAAAGGTCAACATCTTTGGCCTTTGCCCTCGCAGCCCTGCCGCCTCGTAACCTTCCTCTACCACTCCGTCTGCGCTCAGCCGCTCGACCGCTGTCTGCTCTAACATGCGGTACACTGACCCGGGACTCTTCCTCGACCTCTTCTTCAGCGGAGCCATAAGGCTGGTCTCGCTCGAGGAAGAATGGCCGGCCGAGTCTGCGCTCTCCTCCGAGTCTGAGCTCTTCTTTTTGCGCTTCTTCTTCTTCTTCTTCCCTGGCGACCGCGAGCGACTCTTCTTCCGCTTCTCCTCTTTCTCCTCCTGGGCATTTCGCAGCTTGGCTGCTTTGGCCAACGTCATGGCCAAGCTCCTCTTTTTCGTCTTCTTGGCAGCCTCCGTTGACTGCTCGGAGTCTGAGATCCACTGAGGCTCTTCGTCCTTTACCTTCCCCAATGGAGGCGCCACCACAGGAGCGAGGGCACGGTGACCACCACCAGCCCCATCCTTGGCAGCCTCTCGGCCTTCTGCCTGTCTTGAAGCAGAGACCACAGTGGGGTGTGCGGCAAAGGAAACCCTGCGACCAGGACCTCGAAGGGCACTCAGCCTCTGTTCGATGGTCGATGGACCACCTGGGACCTCTTCGGCTCCACGATCCTCGGTCGGAAACAGTGGGTCTCTCCCGCTCTCCAACTCCTTTTCTGCGCCCTTCTTTACCAGTTTCTTTGCTGCAGCTGTAAGCCACTCCGCCGTGAAGTCGCCGGGAGGAAACCAATGGAACCTCTGTAGGTGAAGGGCATCTTCGTCGTCCATGGGACAGATTCCATCTGGACCCAGACAACAGATGTGGACCTTTTTTCTGGATCCTTTGAAATAACCATCCACCTTCTTCTTTTCTTCTGCAGTTTCTGCCCCCAGGCTCTTTACCGTAAGCCACATCCCGCTCTGCCGCGACACGGTCTCTGTGACCAGCACAGCAGAGAGGGGAGGAGCCGACTCCCGATGGTCCGGGTCGACAAAGCTTATCACGGAGCCAGGGGGGATATGCCGCGTTCTCCAAAAATCTGCCTCGGCTACATTGTAACGAGTAGGCTTCTTTGGTTTCTCTTGGCTTGCCAGCAACTCTGCAATGGCCGCCGGCGAAGACCCTGGAGGGCCTTCCTCTTCCTCTAAATCTCCCAGCCATTCTGCCTCTCCTGAACCAAGCATTGCAAGGTCTACCCGACCAGCAACGCCGCCGTCAGACTCTGCGTTCTAAACCCTCGTTCAAGTCACGGGCAAGGTTCAAGTGGGATTGATCCAGCCTGCGATGACTTGACCTAAAGGGATCTTCTCTCTCCCGGCGGTGCCGTTGATGCCGAGTTCCTCCTCTGTGCTTTCGCTTTCCTGTCTTTTTCTTCTTCTTCTTTGGTGGCTCAGGTGGCTCTGGAGGCCTTTCCGATCCACGCGAGTGCCTGTGAGTCTCCGGTGGCTCCTCGTGCCTTTCCTTTACTTCTCGCTCCTCCTTCTTTACCTCTGTGCGAGGTGGCTCTTCTTCAGCTTCCTCCTCGCTCTCTTCGTCGTACGTATATTCTGAAGCTCGTCCTTCTTGATCTCGGTCTCGGTGCTCCCTGTCTCCTCCGTCACGTCGAGGTGGAGGTTCACGGCTGGGCCCTGACCTGAGCAAGGGAGGCCGCTCGTCTCTGACTGGTGTCCTCGACCTTGGCCTCGAAGCCTTGGACTTGGCAGCAAGGCCCCCACGGTCGCCAGCGCCAGTCGCCGGCTCAAGGGTCGAGTCCAAGTTGTGCAGGGCCCTCACGAACCTAGCACAACTAAGAGTGGCCTCCTCGGCTACCGCTCTAACCCCAGCGGATGACCAGCGCCGCTTGAGCAGCTGCAGGGTCACCTCCAAGGACGAGCAGCCGAGACACCACGAGTCAGATTCCGTCTGCCTCCCTGAACGGCACTTGTTACAGGGGGCAGCGCGCATAACCCTTGCTTGAACCTACAAGCCACCATTAAACAAAAAGCTTCACAACTTCGTCCTACATGTCGGCACGACTTCATATATTATATATATATATATATTATATATTATATATATATACAAAAACCATCATAAGCAGTGGCAAAATCAGAAGAAAAATGCAGCCAAGTGGCTCCCAAGACCTTCTGGCGGATCTCCAGGGTGGATGTGGCCAGCATTGGGAAAAGGTGATCCTGGTCCCCAAAACGCAGCTGGCGATGCTCAAACTTCCGTGGATCAGCTTGAAGTCGGGCATCCATGACATCATGAAATCAAAAGAAGATGCAAAAACTTTCAAAGAATAAACTCGATGCACATGTGTTGAACTCTAAAATCGAAGTACCCTGCAAGTGGCCCGGAAAGATTGACCCTGCAATGCACAAGCTTGCAGTTGTTGCACCCCAAAATCCACTCGGAACTGCGTCTTAGGGCTGCACGGACCGAGCTCGAAGCATGCATTCTGGCTCGTCCTGTGATGGATCGATCTTTTTTTTCGTCCAGCATCGTGGCCATCGTGGCCATCGTGGCCCCTGGATCAACCCTCCGGATGGTCCTCTTCAAACTGCTTGATTCGTGCAGGATCAGCCAGTGCGTTTGCAATGAGCCTTGGCCAGTGCACATCATCGATGACACCCACAAAAAAGCAGGTGCTTTAATCGATGCCCCACTCTGTGTTGGGTGAATGGCATTGAAGACAAATCACGTACTGCCCGCAACATAAATACAAAACACTACAAACACATAATAAATATATAAATCTATTGTGTATATACAAATATATATAATTATATATACAAAACATAGTTTCCCCAGAGTTTGAGAAGTCTGTCATGTTTTATACATGACATCATGTCTGTCCACCTCTCCCTTCTCATGGTCACCGAGAGACGCCATGAGACTTGGCTGGAGCCACTCTGGGCCTGACGGCACAGCCAACCAGCACCGCTTTGTCTAAGTGGAATGCTTGTGATCTTGTCACCCCACTTGGCTCCCCAAAAACAAGCCTATTTAGGGCGGCAAATGTAACTGGCAATTGACCTTCTGACACCAAAGCCAATGTGTCAAAATCGGAGGAGATCCATTCAATAGAGTGAGCACCTTGCTCTATCCATCTCTATTCCCTTATGCCACAAATTCCAGGCATCCGCACATCCCAAAGAAATGCGGTACGCGACCAACGGAGCACGGATCTAGGCAGCGGCAACCGGAGATTCAGTGAATTCCAGGCATCGTCACATCGAAAAGCCGAGAGCCAGGTGAGTCAATGGATTGGGACCGCCGGCGCCAACATTTTGTTGGTCAGTTTTCCATCATTTTCATACAGTAAACTCAGTAAACACTCAAAAAACTACCCCAAATCTTATGCCCAACTTTGACCTATAGCGTCCTCAGCCACTTCGGCGACTCTGAGGCATAGACACTCAGTGGACTGAGAAAGGTCAAACCTGGAATCCAAAGGTCAACTGGGCTTAGCTCAAAAACCTGCCCTCCCGTGGAGGTTTATATTTGGGAAAATCATCTATAATATAGGATTTATCTGTTGCCATGTTTGATTGCCCGAAGGGTATCTTTCTTCATCATCTGTAGGTTGATATCATTGATATCCCTACATTCATGGGATATCATGAGTATCAAACATCTGTGTGATTGATACAGGTTGTTTATCATTTGTAGGTTTGTTAATCATCTAAAATAGGGATACAACCGGGAACAAATCGTATAGAACCAACGGGCAACACAGCGTATCATGTACCTTAAAGATGGTCGTTGAAACTTCAGGGCCCTTCAGGGCCCTTCTCGCGCGGTCCCCAGGAATCAAGGTCCCGACCAGTCAGACATTCCACAATGGCTGCTACAAGGGAAGACGCCTGGTAAAGGCCCAATTCAAGCCATGGAGCTTGGTTGTTGTATTTCCAGGACAGCAAAAAGAGATTAGGAAACGTGGCTATCTCACCAACGAGAATGGCTTTTATTCTGGTAAGGATCCGGTAGGTGTATGGACTTCCTCGTAGAAATCGCGGAAAAGGTTGGCGGCAAAACGCATTTGAGTTTACAATCAAAAGTTCATGAATCGTGTCGAATCTCACTTGAGGGTCCAAATCCCGGTGAAAGCATAACCATTTTGGGACAGAACACCTTGCTGGCTTGCATCCCACTGGGATTTTGTCCAATTTTAGTAAGTGGCAAATGCTTAAACGTTGTGCTTCAAGATCCACATATATCTGCAAGATGTGGTGAGGGTGTGTGTGTGTGTGTGGTTCTTCCTACTATATAATGATGCTCACGAACCTCTAACCCCGACGAAGTGCATGAAGGAACGATGAAACGCACTCGGAAGAAATGCAGCTGCACCTGCCCTTGATTCAAGGAGAGTTTCACAACCTGACCAGTTTGATGGATGGCTCTGGGAACCAAGCTCCAAAATGTGGTTGGGGCCCCAACCAAATTCTGTTGATATACTCCGAAAAAAAAAAAAAAACTCAGGTGCTATCCCCAACAGCTTGAAAGCTTCTGCGTTTTTGCCATAAAAAGTGCTTATGCCATAAATTTAAACGCTTATGCAATAAAATCCGCCCACACCGCTTTGGCGGTGAAGGCGTGCTTATTGGGGGGCAACAGCAACACTAAATGCTCAATGACATTTGTTAATATAGCAGTCGCTATATCAGCTTTAGCTGGGGGGGGGCCAAAAACGGTTTCGCACCGAGACCAGAATACGGTGGTGGTTCGACATTTTTCGATGATTTTTGGGTGTCTGAGCGCAAGAGGGTATTGAAATGGAATTTTGGGTCATTTTGGTAGCTTTCCGGCAATGGAAAAACGGCCAAAAATGAAAAAAACATTGTACATAGCAAGATTTTGCAGGGTTTTTGGATGCCAGAGCATTGAAAACACTGCAAAAACAAGTGTTTTGGACTGACGTTATAGCAAAAAACGTGTAAATTACCGTATGCTTGACTGGAAACATTACAAAAACACTGTCAAAAGCAATGTTTTGGAAGGATTTACTGCCTTTATGGCAAAAAACGTGTATATAAATTACCGTCTGTTTGACTGGAAACATTGGAAAAACATGGAAAAACACTGTCAAAAACAATGTTTTGGAAGGATTTCTTATATATATGTTGGAGTTGGCTACCGGCATTGGCACATGGAAAAATTGAAGAAAACACTGTAAATAGCGGTATTTTCAACGGTTGGGGAGATAAGGGAATTGGAAGCATTGTCGAACATGATGTTTTCGACCGGTTTTATGGCGACAAAAGTGTAAAGTACCGTGCTTTGAAGGAAACCATTGCAAAAACATGGAAACACATTCAAAGAACACGGGATTTGGGGGACTATCTGGGCGTCGTTGTCTAGCTATTTGAAATTCCGCAGCTTGGAGAGCCTCCAAGGGAGGGAAAAGTGAAAATTCCATAGCTTGGGAAGCTGTCACGGCGGGGAAAAGTGAAAATTCCCTAGCTTGGGAAGCCCCCACGGGGGGGAAAAGTGAAAATTCCCTAGCTTGGGGAGCCCCCACGGGGGGGAAAAGTGAAAATTCCCTAGCTTGGGGAGCCCCCACGGGGGGGAAAAGTGAAAATTCCCTAGCTTGGGGAGCCCCCACGGGGGGGAAAAGTGAAAATTCCCTAGCTTGGGGAGCCCCCACGGGGGGGGAAGTGAAAATTCTTAGCTTGGGGAGCCCCCACGGGGGAAAACCACCCTTAGCCCCTCTCACGGACCGAAATAAACCTGCGGTGTGGGCGGCCACCCCACGCGAAGCGGGGTGAATAAGTGCTTATGCCATAAAAAACATCGGAACCCTTTGGAATTTCACAAAGCATCTGCACCAGAACCGTCCGAAACCTCACAAGGTATCTGCACCGGAACCCTCCGGAACCTCACCAAGCATCTTCTCCGCCAAAACCCTCCGGAACCTCACAAGTCTCTGCACCGGAACCTTCCGGAACCTCACAAGGGATTTGCCCCGGAACCCTCCGGAACCTCATCACGCAACCTCACCACGCATCTTCACCTAGACCCTCCGGAACCTCATCTTCAGGTAGCTTCACTGGAAACTTCCGGAACCTCACCAGGTACCTGCACCAAAACCCTCTAGAACCTAACCAAGTATCTACCGTAACCCTCCGGAACCTCACCCAGTACCTGCACCGGAAACTTCCGGAACCTCACAAGGTATCTGCACCGGAACCCTCCGGAACCTCACAAGGTATCTGCACCGGAACCCTCCGGAACCTCACAAGGTATCTGCACCGGAACCCTCCGGAACCGCACAGAACCCTCCGGAGCCTCAGCAGGTATCTTCATTCACCGGAACCCTCCGGAACCTCACGAGGTACCTGCACCAGAACCCTCCGGAACCTTGTCCGGAACCTGGTGTTGAAGCTGCACCGGATCGCACCGGAGCTAATCTGGGCTAAAGACCCCATGGCAAAGTTTTGCTGTTCGGGGGGAAAATAACAATATTATGGTTCATCCTGGTTTGATTCGGAAATCCTGGTCTATTCTTGGTGCACTTGAAGCCACTGTGCATGTTCATTCTCATTGCATCACACCAGCCTCGAGCATTCCTTGAGTCTTGCTGTGGAGCATACTCAAAGACCTACAAGTGGCTTGGATCTTTCACTACCCAAGAGTTGAGCCTCTGAATTTTTGGTGATTTTCCTACGTATGTGCAAGGAAAGCCTCCTTCACAGTTCCGCTTGAGGTCAGGATCTCCCCATTTTCCACGGGTCCACTTCAACAAATGGCTTACCCCAAGGGAAAACAGCTTCGCTGGATGAAGTTTTTGTGGAGTCACTGTACATTCTTTTGGAACTCACCAGCTGGCAGCTGGACCTGAAGTCATGGCGAAGGGGTTGGAGCACCTTGGAAAAAAACGCTGTGGATCAGTTCAGCTTTACCAAAGGCCTGAAGTTGGGGATACATTTCAGACATTTCATGAACTGAAAAACCATCCATAAAATATAGGGAACTCAAACAACAATCGTGTAGATTGTTTGATGACCACCTTCGTGGGCTTTGGCCACTCAATGGCACTGAAAATAGATGGCCCGCAAGGGCACCCCGGGAGATGCCGATCGAAATGAATGACAGGCTGAAAAGACCCGCCAAGTGGAAACCGGTGTGAAAGAGGCTGCTCACCCTTGGACACACTTATTAGGCCCTAGTGAACTCAAGATCCCCAAATAGCCAAATGATCGAAAGTTAACTTCAGGATAGTTCAGGTTTATCTTTTAAAAAAACCAATCATCGATGTTCAATCGATCATCGATTTCCGTTGGTTGCAGAGGCTGAGTGTCCCGCCAGCGCATCTTTGGCCTTGGCCTCCTCTCCCAGCAAATTCACATAGCTGGACTCAGCAGGGGCTGCCATGGTGGGGAGCTGTAGGACCTGATGGTTCCTCTCAAAATCACTGGGAAAACTGGGAAAACCTTGGAAAATATATGGATTTTTCATGAATTATGAATGATGGATTTTCATGAACTTTTCAGTTGGAGCGCCAGTAAGTGACATCATATTCATACATGATTCATGCCGGACACGATTGGATACTACCAAAACAGATTCGTCAAGACTTGTGCCAAACAGCACCCCAAGCAGCAAAGGTCTGGCATTTCTACCTTGAAACTGTGAGCAGAATGTAATCCACGCAGTCCTGTTCTTGCTACGGCCTCTATCACTGCATCTCGAATTCACAAGAATCATGCGAAGATCGGAAGATCTGTACCACTTCCCTTTTCACCATGGGGAAGCTCCGATCCAGAGAACATCTAGCAGCCCTTCAACCTGAGTACCAGATGAAGGGTACTTTCTCTTTGGATACGATAATCCTGAATGCTGGCACCTCCCAACTGGCTCCCTGCATAAATCAGCCTCTGTTGGCAGGCCGGTATGCCTTCTTTTTCTTGAATCATTCCTTTCACGCTGGGCTTATCCGTGATGAGCTCTGGGTCTGAGATGCATCCTTCAGGAAGTGGCCAGAACAGATCAGGCGGCCCTTTGCCAAACAGCTTGATGTACTTCTTGAATGTCAGCATGTAGCGTTTTGCCTGATTCTTGTCGTCAGATCGTGGATCATGGCAAATCATCTCATTGCTCAAGCTGATACAAAGCTGGTAATAGATCTGTGGAAAGAGCAGCAAGGCATGCCATACTTGATCCACTTCCCAGCTGGGCGACAGTTGAGCTCCCTCATCACATCTCTGAACATTGCCAGTATGTGCCTGATCCACTTCCAAGCTCACTGACAGTGGGGCCTCTTCATCACATTTTGGGGTGTCACTAGCCATAACCTGATCCACTTCCCAGCTGGGCGAAAGCTCTTCCAAGCTCGGCGACCGTGCGGCCTCTTCATCACATGTTCCAGCATCGTTGGCCATTTCCTGATCCACTTTCAAGCTGGGCGATAGTTGAGTTCCTTCACCCTTGTTTATCCCCCGAAATATGATATCATAGGTTTTGACAATTCCCACTAGCTTGGAAGATAAAATAGACTGCAGTAGCTACTGTAGCCGTCATATCTATTGTCTTCCGGGCTCGAATGTCCACCTAAAACAGATTTGAATCCTCAATCATTGACAAATACCCAGCTGTTTGGAATTATGTTGGGGGACCCCTTTGGGAATCGATCAATCCAATGGAAGTTCATAGAATGATTGGAGTTGCATAAAACTAGAATTCCTTTTGAGACATGATCTAGCACGTTCCAAACTGCCACTGCCTTCACTGCAGCTTGCTTCACTGCTGCCACTTTCAGCTCCTGCAATTGGTGCTGTTCCCTCACCCCGCAACCCCAATGTTGGGAGACCATGTGATTTTAGGCATTTCTGGGACATGTCTGAGATCCATTTTCAGAAAGAACAAGCTGCCGCAAAAGCATATCTACTGTCACTGACCCAACCCACCATCCCACTGTATGTGCCTGATCCACTTCCAAGCTCGCTGACAGTGGGGCCTCTTCATCACATTTTGGGGTGTCACTAGCCATAACCTGATCCACTTCCCAGCTGGGCGAAAGCTCTTCCAAGCTCGGCGACCGTGCGGCCTCTTCATCACATGTTCCAGCATCGTTGGCCATTTCCTGATCCACTTTCAAGCTGGGCGATAGTTGAGTTCCTTCACCCTTGTTTATCCCCCGAAATATGATATCATAGGTTTTGACAATTCCCACTAGCTTGGAAGATAAAATGGACTGCAGTAGCTACTGTAGCCGTCATATCTATTGTCTTCCGGGCTCGAATGTCCACCTAAAACAGATTTGAATCCTCAATCATTGACAAATACCCAGCTGTTTGGAATTATGTTGGGGGACCCCTTTGGGAATCGATCAATCCAATGGAAGTTCATAGAATGATTGGAGTTGCATAAAACTAGAATTCCTTTTGAGACATGATCTAGCACGTTCCAAACTGCCACTGCCTTCACTGCAGCTTGCTTCACTGCTGCCACTTTCAGCTCCTGCAATTGGTGCTGTTCCCTCACCCCGCAACCCCAATGTTGGGAGACCATGTGATTTTAGGCATTTCTGGGACATGTCTGAGATCCATTTTCAGAAAGAACAAGCTGCCGCAAAAGCATATCTACTGTCACTGACCCAACCCACCATCCCACTGTATGTGCCTGATCCACTTCCAAGCTCGCTGACAGTGGGGCCTCTTCATCACATTTTGGGGTGTCACTAGCCATAACCTGATCCACTTCCCAGCTGGGCGAAAGCTCTTCCAAGCTCGGCGACCGTGCGGCCTCTTCATCACATGTTCCAGCATCGTTGGCCATTTCCTGATCCACTTTCAAGCTGGGCGATAGTTGAATTCCTTCATGACTCTGAGCCTTACCAGTTTGTGCCTCCACTTCCAAGCTCGGCGACAATCCTGCTTCTTCATCGCAGCTCTCACTATCGCTAGCCATGTGATCCACTAGGCTTTGCGACAGTTGAGCTTCATCACCTGTTTCACTATCACTGGCGACGGTGACCGCCTTTGGCTTCGCAGCTGCAGGCGCCGCGGTGTCGCGATTCACAGCCTTCAGAATGAAAAATCGGCTGACTTCGATCAGCAGCTCATCTACGGAGGCCACCAATTCATCCGAGTCCATGCGCACGCGATGAAAGCCATCAGGCGAGCCGCTGGAATTGCGGGGATGTCTGATGACCTTCTCCTCCACATACTGCTTCACTGCAAGACCCTCAGAGCTCTTCCAAAACTCAACCATTTTCTCCGCGGCTGAAACCACATCCTCAACCACTTGTGAAGCTTCACCAAGGATCTTGGCAAGTGTAATCCCATGATTTCCGGAAGGAGTAAAGCGATCGAAATTCAGAGATGGATCGATCTTCGTGTCTGGCTGCACTGTCAGTGTGATCGTCGTACCTGTCAGGGTCTTCACGAAGATCTGCATGGCCAGGCCAAAGAGGACGGGCCAGGGCCGCCAGGGGCGCAGCTTCGAGGGGCCAACTTTGTGGCCTGATATGGCCTGATCCCTGTGATGCCAGTGATGAAAAATTTGAAAACCCACATCTTTTTCATGACAAATTTTCACTGAAGCGCCTGAACCCAAGTAGTATCATGTAGAACTGTACAATCCCATTTTCTAGCATCAACTCCTAGGGACTTTTTTTGGCACATTCACTGCCCCGCTGAGGCTCCGAACATCCATCGCCTCCAATTTCACTTCGCCACCACGACCTGGGTCTTCCAGTTCCACCTTCGCCATGAAATTGTTGGCGCAAACCAAAACCTGGGAAGAAATGGCTGGGCCATTGGGGAACCAAGCAGCCAAACCAACCAGCGATGGGTTGATGTCCCCAGAATCATGCTGCGCACGTCTCAAAGTGGGGATTGTGCGCATTGCGGAAACAGTCGCCGTTATGAAAATGGACCATGTATCAAAGGCCAACAAAAACACATAACGGTCCTATCATGATAGTCGCCGTGTTTATGGTCCAGTGGTGCCTCTGGACTATGAACATGGTGACATAATCACTATGTTTTGGAGTCACCACATCCTCATGAGCAGGTAGCATCAGGAGTGTACATCGTCAATGAGGGATTCTCCTGGTGATGCTCAGCCTACCACATCGGGACGACGACCTTTTGTTTCCACCAAGATGCCACGAAACAAATGAAAACAGTAAATAGATCATCATGCGTTCATGATCAATGCGTGCGTTTGTTTTGGCCTTTGCAAGATTTTCAGAAGACATGAAGCAAACAGTTTCCTGAGTTTCATTAGAGTCATGATGTGTCATGGTCTCTCTGTGTTTTTGCCCCATTTACCCCATGTTTACCACACTTCCCTTGGTTCTTCCCTTGTTCCCATAGCGTTTTTGACCCGGCAACCCGGAGCATGGCCACGAACTCTTCGGTGGGCGTCAATTCCCCCAGCTTTCGTTCCATGCCGAGGGTGTCCAACTCCTGCCGAACTATAAGCGCTACAGACTTCACCGAAGTTGGGATATAACCCCTATAACTGGTAATATATGTATATATATATACAATGTATGTATATGTATATGTATATATATATATTTACAATATGTGTATACAGTATATACATATATATGGTATATGTATGGATAACCATATATATATATGTATTAATGTATTATACACGCGTATTACTAGTATTACTGGAACTATTTCCTCAAGTGCAGTTCCAAATCAACAGGGCTGTTTTTGTTTAGCACTTTGACCGTTTTTAAACAGTCACGCGTCATGGCTCTGAGAATGACACTTTCATACACGTCGATGTCAGTTTGTTCAAGGTGATGCGATTCGAGATCACCAGGCCACCATCATCCTGCTGTTCTCCGGATGGACACATGGGACACATGCTCCGGCCGGCCTTCATTGCCTTCACCCCAATTGGTGGTTCATGAAATTAAGGGTTTACCATAGCATCATAGTTGTCATCAACATCAACATTGAATCATCATCATAAATTTTGTCATCTTCATGGAAAAACAATGAGGACGTCTTGGGTCCCTCATCTTTCAGCCATTGGTTTCTGCTGGTCTTGGAGCAAACAATGCCCGCCTTCATGTCTGGGTTCACAGGGATTTCACCATCATCACCCCGGAACTTCTCTTTCACGCGCCTTGGATCCATCAGAAATTTCTGCACCCTTTGGACACTGAAGAAATGGAGAGTTTCAAACGCCAACACGGCCAAGGCACTCTGCGAAATTGGTCAGGGCGGACATGGCCAACATGTAACCTGCAGACCCACCGGTATGATGACCTTTTCCGTCACATCATGTCCATCCTCATTCTCATGCTCATTACCACCATCATCATCAGCAGCAGCATCATCATCTTCTTCTTCTTCGTCATCGTCGTCGTCGTCGTCATCATCATCATCATCACCATCACAACCATCATCATCAACGATGGCAAGCTTTGGGCCAAGTCTTGGGTCGATGGCAGCTATCAATATGTGAACTATGATCTTGAACTATAGTAGCTCCCAAAAAGGACAGAAAAGTAGAATCCTACTCAAATAGTGATACCTGACTTTTCTATCTTTTTGGAAGTTACTTAATATTACTTACTATTGACACCTATGAAAACTAACTATGATTTTCTCAGCTGTTCTCATCACCTCTGGCATCATTTTTTTGTTCGCCAAGCCACGATTCCGCGCCACGGCTGAGCTGCTCCACGGCCCCGTGACACTGGACAAGGTGTCGCGCACCGGTGGCACCACCTGGCCACGGATTTTTTTTGCATCAAGAACTGGCTCCTTTTGAAAGATGTGAAAAACACATGTGTATATATACATATTATATACATATTATATACATATTATATACATATTATATATAATAATATATAATATTTATTATACATATTATAATATATATATGTGTGTGTATTCATCTCAAAAGCACAGTAACATAGAAAAACATCCCTTGGTCACCGGTAATTCTCATGTTCCTCCCAGGCCGGACTGTTCAGCTTTTCAGCTGCCTCTGCCGCGTTTGCATGTGCTGCAGAACGGCGGATGGTGGTCAGGAGTTCCTAGCTCAGCTCAGCCGGTGAGATATCTAGGGGTCATCAGCTGGGTTTTGTAATATCCCCATATAGATTATCCCAAATATTCATATCATAATGTCAACATCCAATAATGTTCTTGGAAAATATTCTACATTCCCTACAGGGGATTTATTGGATCATAATTTCCCCCAATAGGATTAGATACCCCCAATGGACCCCAAATGAACAAATCCAAAGTGTTTCGATGGAGACCACTTAGGCTGCATCAACGTAGATAGACTGTTCACTCGGAAAAAATAAAAGTCCATCGGGTTCCGTGATCCACGCCCGGTTCCAACATCAGCTCCTTTCTGATACAGTGCAGCTACAATGTGTAACCCCGACTTTCAACCCTCCATGATGACCTCATCAAAACCCTCGATAGACCGATCGAAAATCGCAACAAGGCACATTGATGACTTGGGACTCGTTCAGAAAGTTGTACAGCAGGGACTTGTCTCGGCTGAAATTGGCCACCAGCAAGAAGCCATAAACCTGGACGTAGGTGTCTTCGCAGTCCTGCCCACATCAGCACAGGTCACCTAGGTCACCCCACAGCCATCCACTGCCCACAGCGGTCCTTCATGGCAAACAAACACGTTGGAACCACATTACTGGCCTCCAAGGCTTGCTGAACCCTGCGCAGGAGGAATGTGCAAAGGCTGGGGCGAAGGTGGAAACAAATGGATACCAATAGGGACCGCCAGGGAAAATGCAAGACACATGTAAATTTATTGAATATGTAATATGTGGAATTTGAAGCTCTTAAAATCTGCCAAAAAATGAAGCCCAGTTGCTGGAGTCTTCTGTGGGTCAACAGTCATATCATGTCATCTCGGATCAGAGCTACAGATTGGGGTTCCACGGTTCAACAGGCCTGGGTCCCATCTCGTGATGCGACAACAAGAGGCACACCGTTCGGATCACATTCCTGGGCAAAATCGGCAGTTCAGCAAGGGGATTCAACCAACAAATAGGACATTTGACCACCTCAAAAACACTGGAGATTGAACCAACAAGAATAGAAACACCAATTCTATGGAATGGTTTGATGTTATCTTGGAAACCATAGTTTCTCTGGTTTCTTTTGAGGCATGGTCCATACTCTCGGGAACTGGATCAAATCTGCTTGATCTGAAAATAATCGTCAGTCCAAAGAAGACTGAATCTTCATGAATTTGCTAAGCCCAATCGAAACCATCAGAGGTTGAGGGTTTAAGGTTTATCACATCGTGAAATGGTTGGGTTTTGTTTTTCCGGTGAACATCAAGCCGTTCTGTCGAAAGCACCAAGGCACCGATAGATGAAGTTCGCAGGTTTGATGGCGCAGTTTCCCAAAAAGCTCAGGAAATCCATGGAATCCACATGGAGCTCCTAGCGGATCCATGAAACAAACCTGGAGTGCGAAGGTGGCACTGAGGTAGTGATTTATCATGTGCATACATGATACACAGATATAGATATATACAAATATAGATATACATATAATAATATATATATATGGAATATGCTCTATTTATGCCATTTGGAGATAGATAATGATAGACACCCCTCAAGATTCGCAAGATTCGCACCTCAGTGGTGATGTTCGGATAGATCACCCGCTGCAGGGTGCGCAGCCCCACGGTGCCAGAATGGAACGCCTCGTTCCTCAGAAAAAACGCCGGCAGTCAGACACCCGGGACACCCGGAGGGAGTACCTAACCTAAAACAAGGCTTAATAATGGTGATTAATAGTGATTTATAGTGATTGATAATGATTTATAGTGATTTTTAGTGATTTCATAGTGATTTCATAGTCTTACTGGTGATTTAACGTAGCGAACTGGAAAATCAGCATGTTTAATGGGTAAATCATCATGTTTCCAATCTTTAAATGGGCCATTTCCCATGGCTAAGTTGAATAGCCAGAGGCTACTCACCATATACTTGGCAAATTCCATTGTTTTACGACTTTATAATCTTTATATAGATGATCTACAGGGAAAATTCATCATTTTTGAAGGATATTCCTACTGAGCACATTGGAACATGGGCATTTTGTATGGCCATGTTCGCTCGAGGCATCTGTAGGTCAATTCCCATTTCGAAGTGGGGCCCCATCTCCCAATGCCTCGGGGGTTGAGTAGAGATGGTGGCCATGGTTCCTCCCAGGAAATGATCCATCTCTCGTGCCCAAGTGTCACATCTGCTTGCGGCAAACGAAGTAGGGACATCAGCAGCTGCAATCTGGTGGCTGGATAAATGAGGCTCGCCATACCTGATACCATGTTTGATAGCATGTAACCATCCAAAATGGGCGAAGCACCAAGATCACCATGGAACTTTGGATGGAGAAAATGAGGATAAAGCATGGAACTTTGGAATTTTGAGCCAGCACCATAGCTGACACTAGGTCAGCAGGTAGCTTAGAAACTGGAGTAATAACAATGGGAGTTTTGAAAAAAAACTATCAGTAGTACTGGGCCCGGCATTTGAGCCGCGGCCAGCTTGTACAATGATGCGCATGTCTGAACTACATGAGTTGCATACAGAATGTGATATGTTCTTCATCTTCTTGAAAAGGGCCACGTCTGATGCTTTCAATCCCAAGGTCTAAGAAACCAGGGCATCTCATCGCAGATCCAGTCAGAGTGGATGATTTATTCCCTTTAAATTTTGGGAATTCCACTTGCCATGCCTGTTGTCAGTGGAGTACTTCAAGGCCAGAAGGGCCAGCCGCGCCCGCCGAGTTGCTATGCTCTCCACCAGTGGGTGAACCGACCAAAGCTGCAATGCCAAAGACGGCACCCATCAACAGCTCCACACAGACTTTGTCGTTCAAATCCTCGAGAGCCATGGCTAGAAATCTAAGGCCCAGGATGACCCTGCAACAAGATGGTTTCCATCAACCAGCTGAGCTGCACAACTGAGATTGATAAAGAAAAGGCCCCATCTTCCGAATAAGAACCTGGGGCACCTTGGCTCACCTGCATGAACACCGAATGAGCGAAAATCCAAGAGATGCAAATACTTAACATTAACATCAAACAAAAAATTACACTGGAGCGCATATGCCAAAACATGTTTTGGCATTCCTCCAGTCACCTTTGAGGTGCTTTGAGGTGCACCCCACCAGTTGGAGTCCCAGCCACCTTTCCAGCCATGGTAATGAAGACCAAGAGCGCTTCAACCTGGGTACATGTCCGGTATCGACCCCAAAACCATCCAAAACTGCGAAGTTTTAATGATGGGCAAAAAAACAACTGTGCACAGATGATGAAGATTCGGACTTGTTTGGCATCTTCATCTTCAGAGCGGTTCAGAGTGAGAATCTCTTTTCAAAACCATTGGGGGATGGGTATGACACATCCATGGACTTCATTCCCTCTGAAACTGGATTGATTGCTGCCATTTTTCATTTGTTTTGTGAATATACAATCCAATTTCATCTGTTGTAATGGTATCACATGAAAAATATGCTTGTATAATTCCAATCATTGTAGGCCATTATAGTTTATCCAATTACAAAAATCATATGAAAAACATATAGGCATGTTATATCCAGTATGGCCAATATCCAATCATTATAGGCATACAATATTGGATATTGGCCATTTTTTGCCACCTGTTTCAAGTTTTTCAAGGTTCCAGGACGCCAAGGCAAGGAACGATTCCCGACTTGGCCATCTGCTCCTGGCCGTGAAAAAGAACCCCGTTTCGCCCACACCCTTCCTGTCTTGGGAAGATCAACAAAGGTATTAGGGAATATAAAAGTCCCACCCCCGTGAAATGTGACATTCATTTCTACATTCATTGAAGATCTTCAATAAGGGTTCAATTCTCCCAGCCCCGTTAAACTTCTATATTCGTTGAAGATCTTCATTGATGATGATGATGATGATGATGATGATGATGATGATGATGATGATGATGATGATGATGCTGATGATGATGATGATGATGATGTTGATGTTGATGTTGATGATGATGATGTTGATGATGATTCAACACGTTTTACCACGTTTACAGCTCATACAAAGAAGGCGGGCCAACAGGCGCGGGCAAGACGAGGTGTTTGGCCGTAATTATACTATAGTGAGAGTTATAATTATACTATGATTATACTATATTATACTACCTATAGTATGTTATTCAACCCCTGTTGCTTGATGCTGCGTTTCAAAATCACCGGGCATGTCCAATGTTCGGAACATCCAGACTTGGACTTCCTGGACTTCTTGGACTTCCAGCCAAGCTTCGTGATATTCATAGGAGGCACGCACCAGTTCTGACAGCAACGCGCACCTCGGAACTCCGATGTGGCGGCTCGGATCCAAAAAACCAGGCGTCCAAATCGGGGTCCAAGGCGCTGCAAGGCCGCGATCTGATAGAAATGTTCATCTCGCTCCTGGCGACGCAGATCTCACTGCAGGCGTCTAATAGACAGGAAGCATAGTTGGAATGTCAGTGGCTTTTAATCTTACCCCCAAAAAACAACGGTGCGAGAAGTCATAGTTCATCTTTCTATAAGACTGCATGGGATTTCTGCTGCCAGAACTGGCCAAGGGGAATAGCCGTGCTTCAAGCCACCTTGGCCCAGGAACCATCCCAAATTGCTTCCCGAAGCAGTGAAGTTAAAAGGCAAAACTAGCAGATCCCTAAAATGAAGTGGAAATCTTCGCGACCTGGTCGCCCCACCTCCATGTTCAGGTTCGCATTGATGTCAGCCATCAGCAAATCCAGATGACTTAGCACCTGGGGTTGGCCACCAGTCGATAGATCTATTCAAATCCTCCAAGGATCTCTTACAAAATCATCAGAGATAATGCAGGATGACATGCCAAATGTGTTTCATCACATTTTTTTTCCGTGCGCCCCCGTCCCTGGGATCCCTGGAAAAATCCTGCGGCTCGGTGACGACACGTTTGAAGTCCGGAATGCGAGCAACGCAAAGCAACGCAGAGAGACACCTTCCAAGTGCTGGAGCCGTGCACACATCTGGAAGATTGTGAAACCACTGATGATTTTGGGAAAATCCATTAACAGCAACCTTTTTCCACTGGATTTTTTGGATGTTTATTCACTGAACACCGGCAACATGGTTGCTTGGGGATGTCTGAGTGGTTTTTGTACTTCTTTGTGAAGTGTGCAAATCGTAGACATGACCTTTAGAAGAGAAATATCTTCAACTTCGGACCCGCGCAACCCCAGAAGAACCGTTCCACCATTCTGCAGGGGAGCTGGGCTCCATGGGTAGGTCCAAAAAAGCCGTCCAGCCTTGACACCGTGTGAGGTGAAAACAGCATGTCGCGGCCAGAAAGAAGCAGTTGCACCTCAAATGGAGGCCACAGGAAGAGCCGCTTAAAAAAAAAACTGTAGGCATAAGGTCATCCATCTATAAGGTCTCCATGTTCCAAAAATCTGCTGGTCATCCATGTTTTAAACGTAGTCATCCATCCATAAGGTCTCCATTCTCCAGCCCCTGCATTCATATTTCAAGTAACATCCAATAGTTTCAAGTATTCCAATCTGCCTAATAGTTCATCGTGCTTAAATATGTTTTGAATCATCCCAATCCGCTAAATTGGATAATTACCATAATCAATTATGAATAGTTCATCCAATTGGATAACTTATAGTATACTTCGATATCATCCAAAGTCACTTCATCCTCACTCCATCCCTCATTTAATGTGCTTCAATCATCCCAAAAAAATCCCTTAGCATGTTGGTTCATCCGATTGTTTCAGAACCGAGTTACGATGTCCGCGCCCTTCATAATCTGCGCCTGGATCTGCTTCGAGCTATGCAAAATGTTGGCGAAGAACAGCACCACCGCCTCGCCACTGGACTTGTCGATCTGCTCGCTGTGAAACAAGTCGAAGAGAAGTTTCCTGAACAACGGCGACCGGCTTTGCAAAAATGCAGGGGGAAAAAAAAAAACATCATCCCTATGAATTCCCCATTCCTGATGGTTTGTGGATGTACCCGCGGTTTATTCATGTTTATATAGTCAGAAACAAACATCCCGACATCCCGACATCCCGACATCCCGACATCCCGACATCGATTCCTCCTGGTTGATTCGTGGATGCACCCATGGTTTATTCATGTTTGGTGGATTTGAGCCATTTTTAGCAGCGGAATGACCCATGGTAATATGAAATCCAGGCTGCGGTAAGGTGAGATCAACCAGGCGCTGGAAACTCGTCAAGTTGTGCTCCAGGCTTAACAAAGCGATGCAGTGGATGCAGCACCTGGTGCCCAAAACTCTGAAAAATGTGGGGATATCATGTGGCATAGAACATGTTTATACAAATTCTGGGGATATTGTGGGGGATATAACGGTATTATTCATATTATAGCCAACTTGATGTGCTTTCTGATGTGGCCAAAGATTCGAAACTATATATGTAGCCAGGGCAGAACCAGAACTGAGCTTCCAGATTGGGAAAAAGGTTGTTTCATCCCCTTTTCTTCAGTATTTAATCCAATGTTGCCATTTGGATGTTTGAAGCTACATTCCATGCCACGCCTGCAAACAAAGGGATCGTGATCGCTGAGAACAACTTCTGGCTCCTTTTTCTCTTTGGTCTTCTTCATAGATTTGATTCGCTGCGGCTGTCCAGTCGACACACGTGGTAATAGGCGCAGCAAGCTCTCAAGATAGTCCTCATTCATCTGCATCAAGATTTTGCTCACAAGACCACGGATAACAGTAACAACATCAGTAACGGTTTAACAGCACATTCCACAGGAAGTTATGGCTTGCAATCGAAGGGACGGACGATTGGTATAAAACGATCATGTCGACGGTGCAAGTGTGGAACCAAAGTAACTCAATCGAAAGCCCTGCATCCGTCTACAAAGCTATGCCCCCATGTCAAACCACCACCTCTGGCCCCAAATGAATGTCTGAATCATCCATATATCATTCAGAAAATATCCCCAAATGAATGGTTCCCAAACAACCATCAACCAGGGGATCAGCCGCGGCTCCTCTTCGCACTTCTTCTCATCTGAGAAACCCAAAAAGATCCGGCGATTTTCTCGGAATTCCTGAGCAATCCATGAGTTTGCAGCAGCCAAACAGGCACTTTCAAGAATCTACTATATCTACTATGAAAGCAAGGCAGTCTCATATCAAGTCCCTCTTGGATGCTAATTCCGCATCCTGAGTCGAAACCAATGCAGGCCGGTCCCAGTCTAACGCTACCAGGTTTCCAGTAAGTTTTGCAGCAAATAGATCCCCAGCTGCTGCAGTTGCAATTGATCCGAGAACATGAAGGCGGAGAAGGTATCTGCCGCTGGGATTTGGCTAACAGAAACAAAAGCCAACAAGGTCAGAAACCTGAGGTGACTCTGTCCTAGGATTCCTGAATCCAAAATTGATGCTGATATCACTGATATCTATCATACTGATGTTAATGCAGCCTTCCATAGCAAGTTCCATACGGAAATCAGTTCCGCCGCCTAAAGCACCGTCCATCCCCAGCTGTGGCCGGAATTCGTCGGAGCAAGCGAATGGGATCAAGGCCTTAGAGGTCCCGAAAGGGACCCAAGGGACCTGTCCTGGGGGACCCTTGGGGCCTGGGATGCCCCGTTCGAACCGAATCTTCCAAGACAGTCAGCATTTGGTGACCAACAGCATCCAAAAGGCAACATCCCTGTGAGACAAACCTGGGGTCACAGGTCCCTTGAGGATAAAGTTGGATGCTTCCCAGGCTTACCAGAGAAGATTACCTGGTTAACATATGTGGATCAAAGTAGAAATCACCAGCCTCAATGGTCTGCCCACTTAGTTCAGTGATGAGCTTGACCCTCCAGAAAAAAAATAAAATAACTGGCCTTCAGAGCATTCACGATGAGATCGATGTGGGTCTCGTTTTCGCAGGCCGTCAACAACATCTTCACACCCTGACAGATGTTCAGAATCTGGGGATTGGGCGACACAAGTGCTTTCCGGGCAAAGATCACCTTCCAGATGTGGAAATCGGAGAGCAGAATTTTGCAGATCTCCCAAGAATCACTCTTCCACCTCCCCAAATGGCCCCAAATCCAGAGGTTTCCAGGGCTTTCCGCCTTCTCCTGTGCGATGGCCCGTTGCGATGACCCCGACTCAGCCAGGTATAGCAGGCACAGCAGGCAGCAGAGCCTCACATGCTCCACCTGGCCGTAGATCGACCCATTTTGGGGGGATGTAGCTATAGAAACGGGGGAACAGAAGCGAGAAACCTGGTGGGGTAAAATGGGGATCTGACATGCGACCACAAGACCACAACTTGGCTGCGCCGCGGGGGGCTTGGGGTTGGGGCTCCAGTTTTCCATGATTTCCCATGATTTCCTATCCCCCAGCTACCTTGGACTTGCTGTACATCTGGATCACCAGGCGAACGCCCCCTTGCAGCACAAATTCTTGGTGAGAATCTGCATGGTAACCTCAGCTGCCGGTACCATGGAGGATGGATCCCACATACCCTTCAAGTGGAGGGAAAAAAAACGAGTTTCAGAGGTTGCCCTGACCGCAACTTCTTGGCAATTCTGTAGGGTTCAGCAGTTTGCAAGCAACGGTATAGTAACGTAAGAGTTTTAACGAGAGTGAAGAGGTCCAAGGAAAAGAAATGCAATTAATTGCAGAGACATTCATGTCACTCTATTCTCGCATGATTACATTCGACTGCGCAGCCGTCTCACCCACCAAAACAACCCTTCCTCGTCCAACAATCTGCCAAAGGATTCTTTTGACACCGCCAAACAGCTTTTTTCAATACCCATTCATCCATTTCCACCATTTCAGGATACAATCCCTCCAACTAAAGAATGGATCCAAAAATTGGATCCTTCAAAAAGGCATAGAAAGTGAAACTGCTTTGGATCCATCCTCGAAGACTTCAGATTAAGAATCCAATCCCAAAAGAAAATACACACAAAAATCCTCTATGAGATGGCCAAAAACACCGGGAGTTCCCAAGCATCCCCAAGCCATTTCCGCAGCTTACCATCCCAAGTAGCAGAAGGATGAACACATCAACGCCAGGTGCGGAGCCAAACGCGGATCTTCCTGGGACGTTTCGGGATGCTGCTGGTGGATGACAGTCCCAGGAATGGGTTTTTACTGCTGGTTATATCTTGCTTAGTTGTCCTGTATTTGTTGTTTATTAGATTGTTGGTTATGGTTGTTTTCTTGATGATTGTGGTATGATTTGACAGTAGGTGGCGCAATGTCGTTGTCCAAGCGAGTGGAATCAGGACAGCAAGCTTTCAAGTGCATTGAAGAAGGGCAGTCACAAAGAAACGTTCGATAAGAATTGCATCAATGTCTAGAGTCTAAAGATTGAAATGCAAGCCTTTCACGGATCATCGATCGCAATGTCCCACGCACACAAGAGGTTGCGAGCCTTGCAGGCGCGACTAAGCCACTGCTTTGGATGAGCAAGTGCTTGCTTGAGCTTTGGCAGACACTGACTCACCTTCGTTTGGCTTTGGAGGCCTTTGTACAAACATGCAAGCTGCGTTGAACCAACAAGTTCGTAGAATTGCACCACAGAGGTGTCTGGCAAGTTCCCATCTTCCAAAGAAAGCATCAGCGTCTCAAGCCGGTCAGCAAGAGACTTCATGGCCCTCCGGTCAAGAAGTTTCATCTGCACCGCACCCCAACTGCAGTCCATGTGCCCGCCGCACCCTCCGGAAGACCAACTGCTTTGTACAACGGTGCTGCTTGACTGGCCATGAACTTGGCCTGGGAATAGTGTGACAAGGTAGGCTCCTCATCGATCACATGTTGATGATATAGTTGAAGCAGAAGAAAGGCTTTGGCAGCTACAAAATCATCAAATTATCATCAAATTCAAACGTGTCCAAGAAGGATGCAATTGCAGCTAAACACCTGCCATACTCCAACCTTGCAACTCGCAAAGCAGATGAAGGCAGAGACCGCTCGCACTCTCCTCTGACGATCATCAGGCGTGCTTCCAACTCATCCAAATATGACAGCAACAGAAGGGCAGGTACTGCTACCGATCGTCTGTCGTCATCTGAAATGGTTTGTATCGCAATCCTCGATTCGTTGCATATCTGCAAAACGCATAGGGGCTGCGCTTGTCGGTGATGTCTTGCAGCTCTTGGCAGGCCACAGAGCCATTTGCAAGCCCACTTGAAATCAACTGTATCAGGGTCACCGTCCCGGGTTACCATCCGTACGGCCCCCACGTACCTTTGCACGTCAAGGTTGTCCATCAAACCACGCGCATCCACCTTCTGGCGCACAGCTCTGCTGGCAAGAGGCACAAAGATTGGTCAAGGTTGGAAATGCTCAAAGGCCACTGGCAATGCTGTGTTGCCTGGCACACTTCCTGGGTCACCGCCCTGGCCATGTCATGGACATCCAGGGCGCGCTGCCTCATGTATTTGGTCAAGGTTGCAGTGAAAAAACCATCATCTGGAAGCTCCTTACCGGGATGGCAGCCAAAGAACATAAACATGCGACAACGTACGCTTCGGCCTAGCACGTCACGCAGCCTAGCGGTCGCGCGCGTGTGCCATTGCCTGGGGAAAGCGACCGATGGTCGGAACGCCGGCTCCTTCGTCAAAAGGTCCAACTTGGTTAGGCAACTGGCGAAAATGCACACCAGCGTAGTTTGATCTGAGAGTCGCTGAATGAATGATTCCAATGATATGTCGTCTTCTCGCCTCTTGGAATTTGACGGGCACATAAAAATCATACCGTCATCTTCATAGCTGTGGCCGGCATAATACAGTAGGAGCAGGCAGGAGAGGCAGGCATGCGTCCGTTTTGCAACGCTGTCGAGAGCGTCAAACATATCATCCCTAGGAGGATCTCGGAGAGAAACTAACGCTTCTTGTGAACAGAACTGTTCCTCCAGCAAGCAGGATTCCACGAGATCAGCATCATGTACACACTGATTCAAGTCACTGAAAACAGGGTCGTCATATCTGTCAATGCCGATTATAAGTGCCTCACTATGTTGCAATGCTGGCGCCATGCTGGCATCCACAGCTCCACGAAGCGCGTACACATCTCAACAGGAGAGGTATCTAAATGTTCAATCGACAAACTTATGATATGACATCTGATCATCTCTAAGACGACATGTCAACTTTAATCTAGGATGTGTCGTGTAGACCAGAATGAACATCATATAGGCAACAAATGTTGCACCATGAAGCAGCCAATCGAATATGAAACCATTCCAAGACGTTTGATTAATTGATTGATGGTGCTTGTCTTGCACTGTGTTTCTACATAGTGGTACTGAGCTACTGGTTATATTTATACATATATATATATACATATGTATTTATACATATGTGTATATAAATATGTATTTATACATATATATATATATATATATCATTGCTGGTTTTCCTCTATGGCCAGTATCTCGGATTCTGCTTCAAGCTCTTCCGCCAAAATCCTAGCATATTGCTACTGATTGTTGCTGAAATCGATGGTTTTTTTCCCCATCGCCCCCCAGTGGTCCAATCCGTGCAAGCTTCAAGATACACCACCCAGGCATCCGTCAACACTGAGAAAATCATCTC